TATTCCGGAGATCCCACTGCCGCGATACGTCATTCCCGCGGCTGTTAAATCAAAAACGTAGACCGGCGACGAGTCGCTCCAAAAAAAAAAAAAAATATCGACGGCCCCAAAAAACACGACCATCTCTTATTTAATTGCGCATTTTACTACCTTGTGCAATTCGAGTGAGAAGAAATCTGAACTACCCATTTGGAGGCCTACCAACTATTACTAGTCGTATTCCCTTTTCAGGTAAACTCTTAAAAGTCTTTTTCAAATTTTTAATTCGGCGAATCGTCAAGAGATATTTCAATATTTGTCTTTGAAAATCTCTCCTTTTTGCAATATAATGTCGTCGCAATATTTATTTACGATAATTTACTATTTGATGACACGAGCAACGCAATTGAAAAGGAATCAGCGTCCACGAGATGTCCATGTAAATAAGCTCCTTTTGCATCCGTTCATTGCATACCATTGGACGGAACATGGCAGATTGCGCGCGAGATGCGCACGGGAAAGTCTTACGCAATTAAGATCGAGCGGATGGATAGAGTCGTGATTCGAGAGTGCAACGGCGCCCAAGTGGTAGTATTACCTGGTGATTAGTGACGGTTGTTACCGAGTGATTTAACGTTTCTTTTGCGCTACGACGGACGGCGATAGCAGCAAGTCTCCTCGAAGCGCAGGTGATTTATCACGTTGGCAAAAATATGAAATAGCCGGCCGATAATGTGTGAAAATAATAAGAGGATTATGATTGTAATAATGTCGTAAGAGGGCGATTAAAAAGCGTAGTTCATAGCCGTTTCGAGGGAAAATCGTGCAATTAAGGCTGAAACTAATGATTCGGGAGATGGTGCGGGTTAAGTGGAATTATCTGGTGATTAGCGACGGTTATTACGGGTGATTTAGCCCTCATCTTTATTTGAATAGATGAATCGCCGCGTTAAAAGCGTATTACGCGTTCAATCAGGCAGAATAAAGTACGTAAATAAAGAACTCTCTCTCTTCGAATATAAGTAGCTGAAACAGGTTTCTATTTGTTTAAGTTAACGTATTTGTGAGTTAAAATTATACGATATGAATGAGATATTGTTTGTCACATTGGCGAATGAAGAAAGATTGCGATTTGTTGTGTTCGCAAGGAACATAAAAGAAAATAATTCGACTTGTGCCTCGAGACGAGGCACTTATGCAATTAAGATCGTGATTTGAATATATATGTATATAGCAAGACTCTAAGTGCCGCTTAAAAGGACTTTAACCGAGCGATTAGATTGGATAAAAGATAATTCAATTTCTCCGATTAAACACCTCGTGGAAGTAACGGTGTTAACATTGCACTTATTGTCAGTCAACAGCGATTTATCGTGCAGAAAAATAATTGAAGTAGAAGTGAAGACGTTTATACGTATGTACGATAAGCTTCACGGCTTCCTAAGCTTTTTTGTAAAGCATCGTAAAGAACTCGACATTGAATTACATTTGCATCTTTAATGAAATATGTATACGTATACACGTTTTAAACGTATAGAAATAAACCCGATGTGGAGAAGTGCAATGGCGGTATAATTCCCAGAGAAACCGCATGGCGGAACACCGCGGTTAGTAACGATCGGCAAAGCTCGTTACTGGTGTTTAACTATCATTTAGGCAGGATTAAAGATAATCCAGTCGGTGTCGTTGGAGATATAGCGAAAGCGCGAGCTACCACTTACGGTCGTCGCGCTAACTCCCGATTAAGGTCGATTTATTACCCGGCGAAGGGTGCCCCCTTCTGAAAGAGGGAACGCGAACGGAGATAGGGGAAGGACGCTAAGTATACTTCCCGGTAGGCTTATCGTGGGTCGTGGGTAACCGTTATAACTCCCCGGAAATAAAGAGTTCTTCATTAAAGAATGGTTTATGAAAAGTAGTCTATTATCTTTTTAAGTAAATAGAAAAAAATTGAAACCAAGCTTTCACGGAGTAACATTTCTTCGGAGGTGAGCAAGGTAGTCTTTAAATCATTTAATAAGCCTCTAAAGAAAATGGGATCTGCGCCGCGACTTTAAAGAGAAAGTTTATCGGTGTTCGTGAGGAAAGAGAGGGACCGTAAAATATAATATCACGGAGCGCCGACGCATGGTTGCACAATTTGTCAAACCTGATGCACCAGGGTGCAGACTGCATGCGAAGGAGCTCTTTGCGATATCCTGGATATTCCTCGGAGGCGGCCGCGGCGGCTGCGTACGGCGTATTAAATAATCATCCGTGTAAACAGAGCGGAGTTATCGCGCGACGCACGGTACTCGCCATAATAAAGGAATTCCCGGGATGGGCGCGATATTTCCCGCCTTACTCCATAAGTTCGTATTAACGCGTGTTAAATCACGGCCATGTGTGCTCGCGTACATACTTCGTGTGCGTGTGGCCGAGTCCCCGATGAATTATACCTAACGTCCTTCGTGTGGCGCGCGCGGATTAAGCCGCTTTCAAAATATGCCAGCACCTACAGAGCCTCGGGGCCGTGGAAGACTTTGTCGGCCGACGGCGATAATGTCGAAGGTGGTAGACTATGGGTAAGGTCAAAGGCGAGCTCGAGAGAACTCCCCTTACCTGCAGGTTCAAAGGAGGAGGTCGGGCATTGTTAGTAGCGACTTATAGAGGGAGAGCAGAGAACCCGACGCCCAAGTCGCGTCGCCAGCACGGTGAATTATCCCATATCGACATTACGGTTCATTGTAATCGGCCGCGGGGTTATCGATTTTTCATTTGTAACTCAGGAGAAGAGAGGGGCTTCCTGCACGACACCATCGAAGGCCAAAGCCGCGTATTTTTAGCGACTGCGCGCGCGCGCGCTCGGGAAGCGTTACATTTGCGGAAATGCAAAAATATACGCTCGCCCACGCAATAAAATAAAAATAACGTCACTAATTAAATTATTATTAATCGTAAATCATTATTGCAAAAATAAATTAGAAAATAAAAATAACGATATTTATATTGCAACAGAATTGCGTTGCGTCTTTGGGCCGGAATAATATAAACATATCGCGACGAGATATGTTATTAGTGCGAGAGATAGATAATTTTTCTAGGTATGGAGATTAGTTCGTTCGCTTCAAACAATTTCTAAATTACTTATTAATCTCCACGTCCTATCAGACTGCTTTCCTGCTGGTCACGTAACTAACTGGCTTCCAACAAAGACTGCATCGCCCCGAGCAATAAATGTTGAAGCCGCTCAGGCTAAGTCAAAGGAATGTTCGAACCCGTAGGTGAAGAGCGGCTCGACTTCGAGCAGCGTGCTCGAGCTACTTTGACGAAGTTGTTCTTGAAAGTTCTAAAGAATAATGATGTTAACAATGAACAGCATAAATAAATTCTTTTGAAGTCTTGAAGAGTCCGTCCACGATTATTTGACACTGACAAATAATCGTTAAATGAGATGAAAGGAAACGATAAATCGATAGTATAACCGGCGCAAAGTGAAGATTTCACAGAAATGCATAAAATTTAATCGGCCTCAAAAGTAGTCGCTAACGATGGTTAATTGAATGTTTCCTATTTTATCTATTTATCATAAATAGAATAGTGATTTAAATGGAGAGAGAGTTATATAAACTACAAATAGAGCTAACTGATGTCGGTGTGAAACCGCCCATTAGATAGTTAATATAAACTTTGTTTAATAACTTTACACGCCCGGCTACTGCAGAAGTCATTTTCATTATATTGCATGCATGCAGCTTTCCTCTGTGACCAATTTGGTTTAAATCACTCTGTGTAGATATATATCTATATTACACCCTCTCTTTCGCTCTCTCTCTCTCTCGCTCTCTAATCTACGGATTCCATATACCAGTTTCTGATATCTGGTCCATTCTATTTCAAAAGCCCTATGGCTTATACGCTCCGTATGGGATGCGATCGAAATTGTGGTACAACCGAGAAAGAAACGGAGGAAACTTATTGTATCTTATTTCTTATCTTATTTTTTGACTTATTTTTACAAGCATCTCTTCTTCTTTTTCAATTGCAATTTCGACTTTACCTCATATATAATTTTACAAGAATTTCTTTAATGTAAAACGTTTTGTGCATGAATTTAAAATTTCACTTGTCTTTATCTCTGCTTATAATCAGCGGTCTATAAACGAGACATATCGTCAAGATGGTTGCGAGATGACTTTCGATAACCGACTAAAGTGTTCAACGTAATATCGATTGCAAACAGCAAACCCGTGATGTATCGCGACATTGCGGACGATCGCGCGCATAAAAGCACATCTAGTATCCCGGATAAGAGATACTTTTAAGAGCGATACCTCGTCTGTGTCCGATACTCGACTCTGATATCCACTCTTTCGCTTTTTCAGGGTGACATTCCTGCGCCGTTCTCGCGACTATCTCGATCTCGTTTAGAAACCAGGAAATTAATTAGTCAGATGACGCCGCATCTCGCTGATAAATGATTCTATAAATCGATAAGGCGAACGAAAAACATCCGCACGACTTTGCCCGATATCCTCGAGTGATAATAAAGCCAGAGTGTTGACAAACTCGTAATTTCCCATCACTTTAACGGGGAAATATCCGCTCACGGGGATGAAAGCAAAGCGAATCACGTAATTTATTTGCCATTTATCATGTAATGAATTAAGATCTCTGCGAGAGAACTGACGGGATACGCTTGGAACGGGATTATTACTGTAATCGATTCGACTATATTACTTCGCGTCAAACTCTCCTGCAACACTCCGCGTGGATTTCTGGAAGTCGATTAATGTAATTCGGACGGGGAGGATGATTAATGAGTAATCATAATCAATGCTGCATATAATACATCTAGTACTGTATGTAAAGCCGAATAATGAAACGGAACAAATGAACTCGATAAATTGACGAGTTCAATTAATAACACGTAATAAATAAACGAGTATACTTTTCGTGTATTTATTAATGTTTCGATAAAGCTGATGTTTGCCATAGGAATTATTTCGAGCGTCGAGCGCTGATATACGACCAAGACTCACCACGAGGAGGACACATCGATTTTCAGAAGTTACGCCGCCGCATCCGAGCCAGCTACCGATGACAGCCAGTACACCTGCGACGATCAAGGCGTAGGCCAAAGTGGGATACGTCGACGTGGACATCAGGGACACGTAGCTGTGCTTCGCCGCCACCGTCCAGATACCAATGCCACCCACAACCAGTCCAGACAGCTGCAACACATGAGCGAGAAATTCACGATTTAATTTCACGGAAGCGCGAAATGTCGCGAAACATCCACCACGCGATGTGATATCTCACGTAACTTACGATTTACATGTGTGGCTTGTTGACGCATTCTCGGCAGTAAAACGTTTCTCGATAATGCGAGCAACTGATGCAAATAAGATTTCTCTCGACGCGTCGGTATGAAAATTTTTATCCTCGCCGATGGAAGAGAAGCCAAATTGACTTTTCCCCTGTTCGAACTTTGCCTTTTACAGCACACCCCTCCCCCTCTTCTCCCCGCAAAAATAAATTCTCTAACGTGGCGAAATGAGTTCTCTAGAAGTTGACGAAGTGAGGCCAAGTCTCATTGGTCTCTTTCTCGAATTCCTCGGAAAGAACCCGAGACTGATTATGCACCCGTCGTCTCGGTTGTCGTCGCCGGCGTCTTCGAAAATCTCTAGGATAATCGATGGCATCGACCTAACCCGTCGGGAGAGAACACGGTAACGGGAAGCGAGAGTCGTCGTCGTTCGTGTCCGCGGAGAACTTCCGATAGGATCAGCCCACGGACAGTGCGTTTCATTCAATTTCATATCGTGCCCGCACCGGTTTCACCGGCGGGCGCAAAGTCGGCTTCGATGACTGCTCGGATATCGTCACCGCCCACACGACAGCTGGTACAAGAGAGAGAATGAATAACGGATATCGGCCTGATAACTACACGCACCAATGCGTGTAGGCATTGCGTATATAGGGTGTCCGTTAATTGGCGCCGCGAGCGGAAAATAAAGCGCTTCCCGTTGTCGCCGCGCAATATTCCCGAGAGATGTTTCCCGATGATGATATTTAATTTGAAACCTTAAGGGATAGGGGACAATTTAAAAATCACTCTCAAGTTAATCGTCGCTCTCAACTTTACGCTCAATATAGAAAAAAGAGTTAAAAAGAGTTAAACAGATTAGAGAGAAATACTTAAACCATCTCGAGATTACTCTTCTAAGATAACTGTCTTTAATTTCCTCAGAAGTGTTCTTCAAAAGGAAGTACTTTCGGAATCGTTTTCGTCCGTTTCTCTTATCCATAAGGTACACAGAGCGTTTCGTGACTTTTTTACTCGCCCCGTGCAACACGTTTTACGCGCCTAACGGAAGTGTCATCGTCAAACGTCACGCATCGCGTCCGATTGAACGCCGCGATTTATCCCGCGGTCTTTTTGCTTCTCGTGCCGGACATCGTTTTCCTTGCGGCGCGATATTTTTTCCTCTTCCCCCACTCGCTCCCATTGACATACGGACACGCACAACGCGGAGAGACCCGTTTCCTCGTGGGAGAACGGTTGAAGGTACTCCAGAATATACGAGCCACGCCGACGTAAATATCGGCCGACACGCGTGATATTTATGATATCGATATTTACGGGGAATGCGGTTCACGTAGGTCACCGTACACCGTTCCGAGAACAATGATCAAGTTATGAGCAGCTAGCGTTCTCCAAGTGACGCAAGTATGTGATTTTATAATTATGCATAAATTAATCGTTACCGAGCGAAAGAGTGCGATTTTGGGAATAACATTTCGGTGGTGACGCTGAACAGAGATGAATATTACTGGAGAACAGCGCGATTCCTACTTAATTAAAACCATGATCCTTTGATTATTGATTTGTTTGAACAGATTGTTAATCGGTGTAACTTGGATTGATAATTGATATTGAAACAGCTTGATTGACAGAAGTGTATTATTGCGATACCAACGGCGATTATTATCTAACATTCGGATATTACGGAATCAATGCACGTTTGCCAATTACTGCATAACAATCGATAATGCACTGGCTGCAATAGTCTTAGCTCCAATAATCGTAATTAGGAAATTTTTGTAGATTTTATTCAATTTATTACACTCCAATAAATATCGAGAATCTGTTTGAATATTACTTCCATCTTTAACATTCCGAATAAACTTTTCAATTTTGAATAAGATACACTTATTCTACATATCTTATTGCTTTTGGCTCTCATACGATGTATCTTTTTTCGGTGAAAATTACAGTAGAGTGTAAATAAGAACTGTTATTGCAAATAAAATGATAATATTTATAAAATATGCGAATTTCGATCGGAATGCGATATTTACGATATTGAGGAATGCGGCTTTACGCGAACGAGCGCGAACTCATCGCTGTTTGGTTACAAGAGCTGAAATTACTAGTTCAGAATTCGCGGTGTAAACGTGCGAATAATGTGCAACATTGTAACGGTGTATTGTAATAATTTCCTTTACAGCAAGCCCCGTTTGCTATCGTGGAATAAAAGTGTCGTAATTTTGTTCGTAACTTCCGCGGAATATCAAAGTTGTAATATCAATTTGTAACATATCGACAGCGTGTAATCGTAGCATTGTAAATAATTGTTTAGTCGAGTGAATTTACGATTATGTGACCTATTACGCGATTAATATGTGATTGTATGATCTATTACGAGTATTATCTATTACGAATTTATGATAGTGCGGTATTATAATGCTTAGTTTGGTTAATTTACACTGATTGAGAGTTTTAATAAAATGCCGATTTTTGAGGGAAAGAATTTGAAATGTGCGTCATAAGGTCATGAAACGTATTATTAAACGTTGCAATTTCGTCGTGAAGTTGGTGATAACATTTTTATAAACTTTGTATGATTACGCGGACGCTCCCGCGCCAAATCGTACGATTCCTATGGTAACGCGACGCGTTTTTCCGAAGTACCGCTGTGATACCCGATACAGAACACGTTTCCACGCATAAATAACAAACGTTTTGCCGTATCCATTAAAGATCTGGAGTCACCGACGATGTATCCGGGCAATATTCCAGTCCCGAGGCCGTATTCGAGTCGCGGCGAGCGCGACGGGCACGCGCGGTACGTGCGATTCCGCACGAAAAGGAACTCGATTCGATTCCCCGTCCCCGCCGACGGGTTATGGGGCCATCGCGGTAGCGGGCCGCAATTTATTATTTTATCATTGTCCCGATGGCGCACACGGACAATCCACACTCGCGTGTAACGTAACTGTGTACGCATCGGGTCGGCGATACACCGTATAAATCGTATGTATCGCGCGCCGATATTCTTCGCGTCTACGTGCCCGTATTTCAAATCACCGGCTCCGTGCTCCATATCCCTCGCCGCCGCGCCGCGTCGCGTCGGCCACCGCGATCGGGAAAACAGAGAGCAAGAGAAAAACGTACGGGCGTATACATCGAAACTGCGTCCGCGTTTCACGATCACGGATTCTCTCTCGATCGCGCGCGCGACGCGATTTCGCTTACGTCGTTCGGAAACGTTTTGCATAATTGATCTGGCGAGCCGCAGCATGAATTAAGCATGAATTAGGTGGTCCGTGATACGCACATGGGAGGGGAAAAAAAGAACCCGGCAGAAATCCCATTTGTGGGAGCGTTGTCGATAAAATGAAACTTACAACGCGATATTTATTATATTTATACGAGAATTCTGCTCGCGTCGTACTTGAGTTTCTCATATAATAAATTGCGAATGCGCGGAAGAGATTTATCGCATTCATTTTCTGGATGCCTCCGCTCTTTCACCGTCCGTAGATTCCCGCATAATACCGTCGTCTTAAGCAATCCCTTTCGGTACGCTGCTCAGGTACACTTCAGTCAGCGGTTTGCCTATGTACTTATGCATATAGTGCAACCCTCGCGCGAACTGCATCGGATGTAACGAGACAGCTGGCGAACCGAACGTGCCAGCCAATGCAGGCGCGCGATCAGCTCCGGGTTAAACTACGTTGCAACTTGGGGCAATGTTATGCTAATCCGTTCACGTACTCGCTAAATTTTGCGCTGGACAACGCGCGACGCGCGGCTAGCGCGGTGTAGAAAATGACGGACGGAAACGAAGAAATTAAAAGTCGTACACGTCACGCCGACTGGAAAACATCCCGAAAATTATTGCGGGCTCGTGTAAATCGTATAACGCGGCGGAAGCGCAATATAACGAAATACTCGCCAAGAGAAAACATTTTAATTTCTTCATTAAATTCCGAGGTCGGTACACTTCTATCTTGCGTGAAAGATTTAATTAAGATTCGCCCGAGTTCGTGTGAGACATTTCAGGAAAGAACGAGACGCTATGTAATTAAACACATTTTGTACGCGGGAGTTCTACTTGTTTGTTTTACGATGATCATATTTAAAGTGGAATAAATGAGAGGTATCTGTTGGACGGACTGGTTGGTCGTTTCCGTTATACAACTTTAATTTCGCCCATCGATCGTGCCCGGCCGAGCGTTTACGATCTTTACTAGATCGTAACTTTCAACTAGTTGTCTATCGAAAACACCCGCGGCTCGACAGCCACGGAAATTTCGTCCGGACTGGTTCTCTGGTATTCTCAAAGGGACGTCGGCGATGTCCGCCGACGCCCCCGCCTCTCTCTCTCTCTCTCTCGTTTTAGTTTACTTTTTATTCTTTCTTCGAATAATCGACCGCGCTGGTTATCTCGCCTCCTCTTACCAAGATTACCGATCTACGGGACAAATAAAGTTCTTAAGATGTAACGGTGTTCGTCCCTTTTTTATCGCATTCCGCCGTATAATTCTTGGCAGACCAATCCGTGGAAAGCCGGCCACGCTCGGCCGGCGGGCGAGATCTCCTCAAAAGGAATTCCGTTCGATACACAGAGAAGATACGGGAAGAGACGCAGCGGAGGACGGAATGAAAAGCGGCGATCCCTGCGGCATCCCTGCGCGATTCGACTTTTTCCACTTTATTCCTACTGCCCGGGATCTCTCGCAGATCTATCGCTGGAATTGGAAGCATCTGTTTCCCGCTCAAGCGTACCGAGGGTTTCCCTCTCATTCGAGAGCAGGATAAATGCTCGCTCAGTTAGGACAGAGAATTGAACGAAACGATCGAAGGCGAAGTGGAATTAAAGACAACATGATACTTCGAATTTGTATATCGGCTCCTCTCTTCCCTCTTTCTCTCTCTTTCCCT